TCAGGGCAGAAGTCCATTTTTTTGGATTAAAGGCTAAAAACTAAAAGGTAAAATAATCCTCCCTTGAAGGGTTTCTACCTTAATATGGTTTCACGTTTGATAATAGCCAATGGTGCTGTGGGTGTGTGCTTTCAGTAATTAATGGTTAAATTTTTTAAAATTTTAATTTAAGAAAATCTTTAAAAATTAAAAAAATATTGTCTTACTACAGTACTCAAATGATGGGGTTAACCACCAAGTTAGTGATTTTCACCGTTTTCAGAGTTGTGACACCCTATTAGGCTTTAATTTTGGTGATATCCCTGCTCTAACTCACCCTTCAGTGCTGTGTGGTAGATACTTATTAATATTTAAGGCAGTTTTGAGCATTTATGAAACAAAAGTTAGAATTCTACAAAATTAGGACTGGGAATTGTTGCATGGAGAAAAGTTGCCTTTTGTGTGTAAAAGCAATTATTTTAACATGGTGGGATGAAAACATCATAGGACTGGGTATACTGTGTAAATACATTTACATAGATGACACTTATTAAATTCTGGTGTATTCCCTGGAGAATACATCGGAAAAATAAGAACACAATTTGATTAGGTAGCAGTCTTCCCCAAGATGCTGTATGATTAATCAGCAGCTCAGGTTTTTCATTCTTCTGGTCATAAGTTGATCCTCTTAGAATAATGATTTTTAAAATTAAAGGAGAGAAAGTTCAAAGGGAAAAACAAATATATATGGTCTGACACTCACATAGATGGCAGTGGGAATCTCAGTTGGGCTTCACAGGTAAGTCCATGATGCTTTGCCCAGCTCATGGGAGTGAAAACCTGTACCCGTCCCCTCCAGAATTGTTAGTCTCTTTGTTAATCAGATGGGACTTAATTTTGTAGGGTCTCAATAAAACATTCACATAATTACATAGTTCCTTAATACATAGCTGGTTTCCAAATGGCGGGATGTATCACACAGTGAGTAATAGTGATTCTGAGAAGAACATGACTAGTTGCCTCATCTCAGGGGGTAAAGATTGTGGAGATCTGTGCTGCTCAAAGACCCGCCTTCCTCTGACACCCTTAGGCCAGTTTACAGTGTGCCTGATCTACCAGAGTGCACCCAGCTTCCCTGGGCCTGCTTGCTCTGCACCGGAGGGTGTAGAATTAATCATTCTGCTCTCACCTTTGGTTCAGATCTCTGTTTATTTTTTAAAAGGATTTCCCTTCCTCTCTCCCTCTTTTTCAACTTCTCCTTTGGACTCAGAGACATTCAATTCTGGAGGTCCCAAACATACGCTCTTCAGCCTCCCAAGAGGCTAGGCAGCTCTTTCCAAATCAGGATTTGCTTAGAATCCTCCAGGGTGGATGGGAGAAGAACTTGTGAGGTTTTAGATTGTACTTAGTCCGGTTGGAATCTTTTCAGTTGCAAAAGGCATAATCGAAGAATAGCCAGAAACTGTTTATTTATGTATTTGTTCATGCAACAAATAATTTTGAATGGAGAAGTGACAATGTGCTTGGCTGTGTACTTGGTGCTGATGATCCAGCAGTAAATAGAAATGGCTTTTGCCTTTGGGGAACTTACAGCCTGGTGGGAACTAAGTGGGAAAGATGAATGAGTAAAGAAAGGAGTTATGACACAGAAGAAGGAAAATTTAACTCTGTTCATGAGAGTCAAAGGAGGTCGTTGTGGACAGGAGTTTGTTTTAGAAAAACGAGTTTTTTAATATTTAAAGACACAAGCCTGTGCAAAGGTGTGGAGATAGGAGAGAGCAGCCTGATTGGAACTGCATGTGGCTCCTCGTGTGTATGTGGGAACGGGAAGACAAGGAGTAAATGTGGCTGTCGGTGGTAAAGGAAGAGCACAAGACAATGTCCCGGAGTTAAAAGACATGACGTACAGACAGCGTTCACTCAGTGCCCTGTCAATGACTGCAAAAGACTCAGTCCTAAGCGTATGCGATTAATTTCAGGATTCCAGGGATGAATACAAGATCCTGAAAGCTTTCAGAAAGGAAAAGATATGTAAAGAGGATTAGTAACCAGAGCAGCATCAGACTGCTCTACAGCCACATTAGAAACTAGACTATGAAGTAATGCTTCCGAAATTATTTCCTACCTAAAATTACGTACCCAGCTGGGCCTCCAATCAAGACATTTTGAGACACACTGATTCTCAAAAAAATTACATAGGGGACTCTATTCAGGTAGCTAACGGGAGATGTGCACTGTCAACCGAGAAAGTAAACCGAGAAAGAGAAGCCAGGAGAAACAAGAACAGGTGTTCACAGAGGAAAATGTGAAGGAAATTCTTAGGATGATGGTAAAGGGAAGGGAAGTTACAGTTCAAGTCAGGCCTCCAGAGCAGCCATTCTAGCCAGGTTGAATCAGGGTGAAGGGTAAGGAGGAATGTCTCCAAGGAAAGTACAGAATAAAAAAAATTACCTGATGTTTTTACTTTATTGAGAGTAATTTTGCAGTTCTTGGAAGAATTTGATGAGGTTAATAAGTGTTAGGTATATAAGAAGCTAAGCAAACAACAACAAAGCAACTAATAACTCTAGGAGAATCAAAAAGTTATCCAAGAAAGGAAAAGTTATTCAATTCTACATAGCGCTCCTGGGAATAATATTTACTTTGTCAGACTACTGTAAACCCTGAATATTGACTAGAGTCTAGTCACTACTAGACTAAATGTTACCGTGTAGTTGAAAGCTGGGAGGATTAGACAAGTGTGGCATATTGTGTGCAAAGAGATTAAGGGTAGTATATGAGGACTAAAGCCTTATCTTCCACTGACAGAAATTAATAGATAATATCTAAAATGGAACAACCAAGAAATTGCAATATAAACACATTTTTTTAAAGAAATACGTACAGAGGTAAATACCAGAAGAAAATGCTAAAGGGGTTGAAATTAGTTCCCTCTGGAGAGAAAATCCAGTGAGGAAAGGGGTGGGCACAGGAGTTCTAATTTTATTGTAAGCTTTGTAGTTCTGTTTTCTTTTTTGTATTTTTATAAATACAAAAAAATGATCAATAAAAACATAGGACTAGCATCTGTAACACTGAGGGAATCTTGCAATGGTGTTTCGCATTCTGTTGAACAAACTATTTAGCTTACATATTCCGTGTACCTATCTTTGCCACATTCCTAAATTTTACCCACACTTTTTTCTTTTATCTGATTAACCAAATATGAATTGAAGCGAAAGTTAGTAAGATAATTTATTGGCTCAAATATGTGTATGGACTGCCCCTGGGTGCTCGGTATTTTCTGCCTCTATTTTTACATAGATGCTAAGTTACCTTTCCAACGTTAGAGGATAAACAGTCTCCCCTCTTACCTTCTCCCCGAAGTAGAGCAGAGCTTGACTTCACATAAGAAATCACCATTCTTCAGTGACCTGCTCTCCTAAAATGGGATTGCTAGTCAGCTGCACAGTAAGATCTCTGAGCCGCCTGCTTACATCACTCGGCAAAGCTGCAAGCTGTTTATAAAGAAATGCTGTCAATTTGAGTAGATAGAAACTGCCCCCTCCACCTTTTTATTTTGAAAATAATCAACTCCCACAGAAAGATGACCAGGGTAGTAAAACGCCCATGCACTTTCATCTAGATTTGCTAGTTCTTAACATTTTGCCACGTTTGCTTCCCCTCTCTCTATACCCATTTTTTTGAGGGAGGGGGAGTTGAATAATTTTAAATTAAGCTGTAGGTAGCATACTTCAGTATGTCTACCAGCATATCTCCCAACAAGGACATCCTCAAACAAAACAAAAATACCGTTATTTGCCATAGATAATTTAATATCTAATATATAGTACAGATTCAGATTTTCCTAAAACCCCAGTGATACTTTTCTATAGATTGTTTTTGATCCCAAATCCAGTGATCACTCAGTGCATTGAGTCATTATGTTTCTTTAAGTCCTCCTTATTCTAGAAGTTTCCCTGCTTAAAAAAAAAAGAATCTTTCATGACATTGACAGTTAGGAGGAGGCCAGGCCAGTTGTTTTGTAGAGTGTCCTGTCCACGTGTTGCCTTTTTGCTCCCTCATTATAAGATTCTGGTTTACAGTGTTGGCGAGCGTATGTACACAAGCTTTCTCACCCACCTGCTTTTTATGCACGTTCAGAATTACAGTGTTCTGCTTTCTTGTTTGTATGTTTTTGTTTTGTGTTTCCTGCTAATCTGTGGTTTGGCCTGGGGTGCGGAGGGTGAACACTTACCTGGTGCGTCGTAAAAACACCTGAGGCTGCAGAAAATGTCACTCAAATAATCTCGGGGAGGGGACATCCGTTCCTCTGGAAACAAGCATAATATTTTTGTTCAACGTTCTTGGCAGAGGTCGTTGGATGACTTAATATACTGTAATCAGGGCAAGTTTTCTCCTCTTTAATTAAGTTTCTGCTACAGTGTACAGTCCAGGGAGCCACTTGGAAAAACACTTGGCCAGCTTCCCTGTCATCCCTAACCTGAACGCTTTTGCTTTCGGACCCTAAACGCTGACTGCGCTCAGTGTGCAGCGTTTGGCTCCCCTCGCGCCAGGATGCTCAGGGGCTTAGGTTATGTGTATTTTGCGTGAAGTGAGCACAACGTGGAGAGATGGCGTGCCTCACATGCCAGGGGAGCTAGGCCAGCTCGCTGCGGAAGGCACGCTTCCCGGCCGCCCGGCTTCCTGATAGGAGACCTGGTGACACAGTAGCCTTTAGGCAGAGCCCGGGGATGTGCAGGAAGTGCGGCTACAGGTTTTGTCAGGGGGGAAATCTGAGCCATTTCTCTGCGGACAGCTGTGTGGCAGAGTCTGGGCAAGTTGCTGCTGAATTTTGCACGGGCTGCCAGGGTAAGCGTTCTCCTTTTGATTTGTTTATAGTCCTGGTTTTCCTTCTCCTGAGTTATCAAGGTTCTTTCTGGAAGTTTCACGGGACTTATTGTACGTGACCTGAAGTGGGATTCAGAGGATTCATTCTAATAGACTTGTAATCCAACTTTTCTTTCTCTTTCTCTCTGCAGAGTTTGTGGAAGTATAATACTTTGTCATTATGCGATGTCGTCTCTCGGTACCTCCTTTGTGCAAATTAAATTTGATGACTTGCAGTTTTTTGAAAACTGCGGCGGAGGAAGTTTCGGGAGTGTTTATCGAGCCAAATGGATATCACAGGACAAGGAGGTGGCTGTGAAGAAGCTACTCAAAATAGAGAAAGAGGTAAGGTCCTTTCCTGCTCTCATAAGTGGTCACACTGGCGCTTATGTAAGTTTTTCAAGCTCGAGGCAGAGGTCACAGGCTGCCAGGGACCTAGCAAGGCCGTTTCCCAACCTCCATTCCGGGAGCCCCATAAATAGAAAGTGTTGCCGCGTGTGCTTTAGGGTTGATTTCTACTAGGCTCATCTGAACTGAGAGGATTTCTTTCCATGGCATGAAATAGACCGAATGTTCTCTGAACTCTCCTGGAGAGGAGGTAAGATTTCAGACCTTTTCTTTTCCCTCACCAGCCAAGAGGGGTCAGTAAAGAGTAGTGTGTCCAGTTTTCATCCCCCTTCCATTTTCTGTCCGTGAATTTGTGCTTTTCAAAAACAAAAAGCACTTCCTACTGAAGTATCAGCAATGCCAGCTTTTTGGATTTCACCTCTGCTTGAGGCCAAAAGTGATGGGCCTTGTTTAATAAAGAATTAACAGGTGCCCGACAGAGCTGCCCTGCTTATAAAACCAGAAACGGCTTTCAGAGTCTGGGATACGTGCTGGTCCTAGTCAGGCTCAAAGCTCATGGGCCCTTCATCTTTCTCAGGAACGTGGTACCGTGTCCCCCAAATTCAGCGTGGTGCCTTGAAGAGTGGGGCTGATGTGGAGCTGACCTGCAAGGGCTCAGTGCCATTGATAATTTTTAGTAGCTACCCTTGGGAGCTTGTCTTGGTCATTTCTATTTTCCTATTTATATTTCTACTAGTCCTGTTTTGGCTAGCTATTGTTCTCTTCAGTATCTTTAAAAGTGAACTTTTCCATAAATATCCTTTAATCTCCCTGAATGGGTTTTTTTTGTTTTTTGTTTTTTTCATTAATTGCTGTCAGTGCAACCGTAGCAACTGATGAAGGAAGGAAACCCAAAAGGCAGCACTGTGCGGCCTTCCCCCAGCCCTGCTGTGTGACTGTGATCACCAGCAGTGTTTCCAGTTGCTGGAGCGGGGTCAGAGGGCTCACCTCTGCCATGGGGTATCTGGAGGCTGTGGAAAGCTTAGATGTGAAAGCTTTTAGAGCCAAGTACGCGAAACAGAAGGGGACTATGCGGAATAAGTTTCCTCCTCCTCATTTCTTGATCAGCACAGTTTTAAATAGTAGCCAGGTAATAAGACCATTCCTTACTCTGGACTGAACCTAGCTTTTTTAATCTAGTGAAGTCTTTATAGGAAGCATTGTCATGCACCCTTTTTATCGTGGGAAATAGAGCTTTGAGAAATGTGTGGAGCCTCCCCAGAGGGACAAGTGAGATCCAGGAGATCAGATTCCCTATTTTTTTTTGTTGTTGTTGTTCTTTTCAACTCTGAAACCTCTAGTTGATCAGGTTAAGGGTAGAAAATAAACCAATTCCATCACATTTTAGTCAAAGAAGTATAGAAGTGTGCTAATATTTTTATACATTAGGTCATGCAACTTCAGTACAACGAACATACTATCTTTATGTGATTGTTGGATGTGAGACTTCATGAGACACGAAACAGATGTTGATAGGAAAACAATAATTGCAACACATTCCCTCCACCCCCCACCCATGCTTAATACCTTTTTCGCTACCTTTGAGAGAGCCAGGAAAATGACACAGGAAAGCACAGGGGTGTAGCAGGAGCTGGAAACTGCCGGGTGCTGCTCTGGTGTAAGCTTTTAACCTGCGTGGTGTCATTTGGAAATTGAGTTGGTTACAGTAAACTACAGGAGCATCCTATATAATAAAAGGCTAATATGCAAATCGACTGAACTGGGGAACAGCCGGTCTCTATGACGCGCACTGACCACCAGGGGGCAGACGCTCAATGCAGGGGCTGCTTCCTGGTGGTCAGTGGGCTCCCACAGGGGAAGCGCAGCTCAGCCAGAAGCTGGGCTCATGGCTGGTGAGTGCAGCGGCGGTGGCGGGAGCCTCTCCCGCCTCCACAGCAGCACTAAGGATGTCTGACTGACGGCTTAGGCCCGCTCTGGGGGCTGGGGGAGCCATCAGTCGGACATCCCCTGAGGGCTCCCGCACTGTGAGAGGGCACAGGCCAGGCTGAGGGACCCCCACCCCCTGAGTGCACGAATTTTGTGCACCAGGCCTCTGGTAACTCATAACTTGTAAGTAGAGAAAACAAATTCTATTTCAGCTTTGGGGCTTGGTTTAGTCAGTGATTATCAGTGATAAAGAGATATGGTAAATTATTACAGAGCAATATTGCATCCCACACCTACTGAATCAACAAGAGTGTAAGATACAGAAAATTTTTGCTTAGGGGATGGCAGTTATTGGAAAGGAAATATGCATTTCTTATGCAAATATTTGTTATACTTTATGAGGTAGGTATTGGCTTGCTGCCTAGGTGTTTTCTAAGTGGTAAGATAAAGGTAATTAGCTCTGGATTTTATTTTACAGATTCAGTTTCATGTCACTTGGTCATTTTTGCCAATGAGTTCTAGAAGCAATGGAATATTTAATAATGTGTACGTGGCTCACACATGTAATTCTTTAATTAAATATATGTTATGAACTTAGTAAAAGATGGAGAAAATATAGACCAAACTCTTTAATGTTGCTTATGTGAGAGGCTAGAGAAAGACTATTGATTTTCACTTTATTTGTAGACCTCTAGTCTAGTGAGTATATATTGCTCTCCTCTGCTTTAGTGCATACATCTGGATTGCTGCAATCAGTGATATGCTCCTGTTAGAAATGTAATTTGGTAAACTTTTAGAGAAGAGTTTAGCAAAATCTATTAAAAAAATCTTAAAATATTTCCTTTGAGACAGAAATTTTACTTCTGGGACTTTATCCTAGGAAATAGGAAATAATCAGAGATGTGCAGAAAGATGGATATAACAGGCTGTTGTTCATCCAACATGTAGAATGGTGAAGAATTAGAAACCCAAGTGTCCTATAACAAAATATCTTTTAAATTATGGTACATCTCATGTGAAGAGTGTGCTATTGAACTCAGTATATGTATATTAAACTCATTGTTTTGTTCATTTTAAATATGTTACAATTTTATTCATCAATTATATCTCAGTAAAGCTGAAAAAATGATGCTACATTTGTACAGCGGAATTCCATTGCATTTGGAAGAATATTTAAAGAGTTAGGAAAATGCATATGATACACTGCTAACTGGTTAACAAGTTATAAAACATTTTAATATGATCCCAGTTGTCTGCTTGGTGTCTGTTTTGTTTTTTTTTTTCTGATACTTTCTTTTGTTTTCCATATTTTTCTGTGATGATCTCATGTCCCCCCCCCCCAACATTTTATTATGAAAATTTTCAAAAATAAAGAAAAGTTTAAAAAGTTTTATAGTGAACACCTGTGTATCTACCATCCAGGGTCTGTCATTAACATCAATATTTGCTTTATCTCATATATACCCAGCTATGTATCCTTCCATTCATCAATCCACTTTGATGGCATTTCAAAGTAAGCTACAGGCATCAATACATTTCCCCTTAAGTTCCTGTAAGCATGCCTATTATTACCAGAGTTCAGTATGTGTTTGCAGTTTTGTTTTCTTTTGAGATAAAATTTACATACAATGAAATGCATGTATCACTCAGTTTTGACAAATGTGAGCCCATGTGACCCATATATTTACTTTTATAATTAAATTAAGTATTTAATTATAAAATATAATTAGAAAAACACAATTTTAAAAAGTGTAGCTCTGACAATCTGTGGCACTCTCTAAGGTTGTTCCAGGGAATTGAGTTTTATAAACCTCTTTAGTATGTCACAAATTACTGATTTTTCAGTCTCAATATGTTCCTCTAAAATGCTTAATCTGTACTTTTCCATAACAGTGCTACAGGATCTGCAGTGGTGATTTAGCTTGTTTATGTTAGTTACAGGTTTACCTATAGTGCACTATTTATTTTTGTTTTTAAAAAGTCTACAACAGGAAAAAATGATCTGAAGAATATATACCAAAGGTAAGAGAAGAAACCATTATTGTATCTTTTTGGAAAATTTCAGTTGAGCTGAGTTCAAACCAAATTGCTGAGGCTGAAATTGAAGCAAGGAGTGGAGAGGGCAAAGAAGGCCATTGTGGATCAGTGTCCCCTTCCAATGACTGCTGGCCCAGAGAACAGTCCCACACAACAAGTATTCATCAGCCTCACAGCGGGGGCTTTAGAACGGTTCATCGGAACAGCTTCATTTTACCCGTGCTGTACATTTGATGACATGTAGAACCAGACCTGTCTGTACATGGTATTTTTTTTTCCATCTGAGAGATGGAAACCTGCAAGCATTTGCATTAACTTGGGATTTGATATTCAACTGATAGTAGAAAACCAGATTTAAGTATGAGATGTGAACGAAACACGATTGCTTTTCATTTTCCCAAAAGAATTGAAAGGAAGTTCAATCCTCAAGAGATAAAATATGAGGCTTTTTCTGCATTTGCCTTGCTTTTTGCAAGGCACCACTTCCTTTATTTAAAAAACATTTTTTCCTTCCATGTCTGACTGTTGTGGAAATGTTGAAAGCCATATAAGTTTAAATTTCAAAACTGTCCCACATTGTAAATATTTATAAAGAGAGCTCAAAAATGTCAAAAACTGATGATAAGAACAGGAGCTACCAGTAACTTTTTATATAAAAGGGGAATATACCTGTGAAATAGAAAACACAATCTTCATATTGACACAAAACTAGGAAAGAATGAGAAATAAAAGCTTTTGTTATACAAGTTCTATCAACATGGCAGCATTTAGTGCTTCATAAAAACCTAGTTAATGTTGTTACTACTTTGTTAGTTCATAGGAGAGAGACCCTCTTTTCTTTGTAGTTCTGTCGCTGGCTTTTTATTAATAAATTATTTGCATTTGCTTCAGTTGTAGAAATGCTGTTGTAATGTTTTCCCCTGTCCCTGAACACAATAAAGAGAATTACACATTTACCTTCTTTGTGTAAATGTGTAATGCCTGCCTTGCCTGGCTCACAGTAACGTACTTGTTCCTTGCTGCTTGGCATCATG